CCCACGGAAGTGCGCAGGTGCAGGGGCTGTGACGAGAGAGGGAGGGGGATGAGGTGGGGGATGAAATGAGGAAATACGTTATAATGAGGTCGCACTCATTACACACAACGTGCTCGTTGCAAATTAACCACAATGCCTCGCTGATGTCGTCCAGGAACATAAACCATCACGCAAACTCCGGTCATCCTCGCAGCAGCGGCTTTTGGCTGACCATTGAACAAAGACGATCACTGCATTACCGTGTGCTTTCAGATGCGCTTCTGTGGCCGTCTGGAATGCCTCTTCCGATATTAGGAAGCCACTGGAGCTACGCACTTTTAAATCATCTGTATCGAACACTAATTTCTTTACAACTTTTTTTGTTTTTAGTTTGTTGTGCTTCACCGTGCACATCCAAATTAGCAAGGTTGTCTACGTACGGTGCGAAAGAAGTTCAAAATACATAGCACGGTTGGTTACAGTGAGGGAAAAAAGTATTTGATCCCCTGCTGATTTTGTAAGTTTGCCCACTGACAAAGAAATGATCAGTCTATAATTTTAATGGTAGGTTTATTTGAACAGTGAAAGACAGAATAACAACAAAACAATCCAGAAAAACGCATGTCAAAAATGTTATAAATTAATTTGCATTTTAATGAGGGAAATAAGTATTTGACCCCCTCTCAATCAGAAAGATTTCTGACTCCCAGGTGTCTTTTATACAGGTAACGAGCTGAGATTAGGAGCACACTCTTAAAGGGAGTGCTCCTAATATCAGCTTGTTACCTGTATAAAAGGCACCTGTCCACAGAAGCAATCAATCAGATTCCAAACTCTCCACCATGGCCAAGACCAAAGAGCTCTCCAAGGATGTTAGGGACAAGATTGTAGACCTACACAAGGCTGGAATGGGCTACAAGACCATTGCCAAGCAGCTTGGTGAGAAGGTGATAGCAATTGGTGCGATTATTCGCAAATGGAAGAAACACAAAAGAACTGTCAATCTTCCTCGGCCTGGGGCTCCATGCAAGATCTCACCTCGTGGAGTTGCAATGATCATGAGAACGGTGAGGAATCAGCCCAGAACTACACGGGAGGATCTTGTCAATGATCTCAAGGCAGCTGGGACCATAGTCACCAAGAAAACAATTGGTAACACACTACGCCGTAAAGGACTGAAATCCTGCAGCGCCCGCAAGGTCCCCCTGCTCAAGAAAGCACATATACATGCCCGTCTGAAGTTTGCCAATGAACATCTGAATGATTCAGAGGACAACTGGGTGAAAGTGTTATGCTCAGATGAGACCAAAATGGAGCTCTTTGGCATCAACTCAACTCGCCGTGTTTGGAGGAGGAGGAATGCTGCCTATGACCCCAAGAACACCATCCCCACCGTCAAACATTGAGGTGGAAACATGCTTTGGGGGTGTTTTTCTGCTAAGGGGACAGGACAACTTCACCGCATCAAAGGGACGATGGACGGGGCCATGTACCGTCAAATCTTGGTTGAGAACCTCCTCTCAGCCAGGGCATTGAAAATGGGTCGTGGATGGGTATTCCAGCATGACAATGACCCAAAACACACGGCCAAGACATCAAAGGAGTGGCTCAAGAAGAAGCACATGAAGGTCCTGGAGTGGCCTAGCCAGTCTCCAGACCTTAATCCCATAGAAAATCTGTGGAGGGAGCTGAAGGTTCGAGTTGCCAAACGTCAGCCTCGAAACCTTAATGACTTGGAGAAGATCTGCAAAGAGGAGTGGGACAAAATCCCTCCTGAGATGTGTGCAAACCTGGTGGCCAACTACAAGAAACGTCTGACCTCTGTGATTGCCAACAAGGGTTTTGCCACCAAGTACTAAGTCATGTTTTGCAGAGGGGTCAAATACTTATTTCCCTCATTAAAATGCAAATCAATTTATAACATTTTTGACATGCGTTTTTCTGGATTTTTGTTGTTGTTATTCTGTCTCTCACTGTTCAAATAAACCTACCATTAAAATTATAGACTGATCATTTCTTTGTCAGTGGGCAAACGTACAAAATCAGCAGGGGATCAAATACTTTTTTCCCTCACTGTACGTATGGTGAGAAATAAGTTGAACATACATAGCACGTTTGGCGACACCAGTTGTAGTGGATTCAACTGAGTCGCAGATATACTTCTTGGAGGCAACACATTATTTATGAACCTCAACACATAACACAAAGGGGTTACTGCCCCTTTACCAGATAACCTAAGGTGGTGGACCACCAGGCTAACTACGCTAGTTACTGGGAGTAGCTACAACGGATAGGACCCTAGCTGGGATCCTCGTCCACGTGTTTGTGACTTCTTCTTGGACGTAGAACGTACATCTTCAGATGACGGCAGAAACGCTGGGACATCGGTCCCTGTGCGGACCCCGGTTTATATGCTGCTGGGTCGTGGCTGGGCCCCGCCCTTGGCCACGACCACCGTCGAGAAACCTCTGCTCGTTTCTCGACCCTTCCCGTAGGATCTCACCGTGACACGTGACCACCCCCAAGCCCCCACCTGGGGCCCCTGTGTAGATCTTACTGGTCACGTGCCTTCCGGGGTCAACCAGAGTGCCATGGCCTAGGGTAACCTCATCCCATGGCTGACACTCCCACACTCCCCCCTGTAGCAGTCAGCACTCCATGCCACGCGTGGTGCGACTGAGTGCTATCCCAGCGCTCATCGAGCCCCCTCTAGGGCCAGCACCACACAGTGACATCCGCGATGTCACTACACATACGGTGCAAAATAAATTCAACATACGTACATAGCACGGTTGGCTACGTACGGTGCGAAAAAAGTTGAACATACATACATAGCAAGGTTGGCTACGTATGGTGTGAAAGAAGTTGAACATACATACCACGTTTTCCTTCGTATGGTGCAAAATAAGTTCAACATATATAGCACGGTTGTCTACGTACGTGCGAAAGAGGGTCAACGTATCTACATAGCACGGTTTGCTACGTACGGTGTGAAAGAAGTTAAACATACATATCACGATTGGCTATGTATTTTACGAACGTTCAAGATACCTACTTAGCACGTTTGGCTACGTACGATACGAAATAAATTCAACATACGTAGCACGGTTGGCTATGTAGGGTGCGAAAGAAGTTCAACATGTATACATAGCACGGTTGGATACATACGGTGCAAAAGAAGTTGATCATACGTACGTAGCACGGTTGGGTACGTAGGGGGCGAAAGAAGTTCAACATACGTCCGGGAAGCGGCCCCACTCCGCTTGACTCCTCCTCGCGCCGGGGCCCGTGCCGAGCGCGCAGCACCCGGGCGCGACGAGCGGGAATTTCTCTGTGAGAGGATCCGTCAGCGCACCTGTGCCGTGGCGGTGGTGGTGGTGGCGGTGGTGACGGTGGCAGCGATGGGGAACGGAGCGAATAATCAACGGGGGAGAGAGAGAACTCCGGTCGCGCTGGCGGCGGTCCGTGCGGGGTGGGGGGCAGCTGTTATGAGAATGGGGGGCGTGGGGGTGATGAAGGTGGTGGTGGTGGTGGTGGTAGGAGCGGTGGCTGTAGCAATCGACGTGGACTGGGCTCAGGAGGAAACCCGGCGACACGAGTTTAATTTCCGCTCGCGATCAACACGATCATCTGAGCAGATCGTGGACCTGGTGCGGTGGTGTGTAAACATCGTCACTGGGGAGACAAAGGTGGCCGGGGGTGGTGCTTGGCCACCCACCCCTCGTGCGTCGTGCCGGCCTTAATAGGCGTTCGCTAACAGCACTTATCTGTCGAAGGTTTTACCGGGGACATCTTTGGGGGCGAGGGGCAGTGGTGGTGCGGGGGGGAATATTTGGTTTTGTGTGGGGCGTTGTGGTAAGTGGGGACTATGTGCTAAGTCTGTGTGTACGTTGAACTTCTTTCCCTCCGTACATAGCCACCCGTGCTAATCGGAGGTGCGGGGGAAGGACAACAAACTAACACACAAAAAAAGTAGGGGGAGGGGGCTACGTGGTATCTGGATAGCTTCGAGGTAAGAAGTGGGGGGCTATGTGGCAAGTAGGGGGCTATGTGGTAAGTGGGGGGCGATGTGGTAAGTGGGCGGCTATGGGGTCTGCGTAGAGACGGGTACCGTGATGGAGTCTCGCTGCTGTGGTAGCCCCTTCGCGTCCGTTGATCGCACCGTGGATTTATCGATGGCGCTGATTGACGGGTGGCTCTGACAGGAGGCTGATCGAGGCATTGATGAGTGCGATGATGTGAGCGATGGAGTCTTCAGATGGCGATGGTGAGCACTGTGACAATATTTGTTGATTTATGATGATGATGGACATGATGATGCATTCGAGGATGATGTCCCGTAGATAATAATAATTTAGTTGATGTGTAAGTCTTCGAATTAGAAGATTATTATTTGGATGATCATGATTTTGATATTGAGTGAGACGATGTCGATGATGGTGAGTGAGATGATGGTGATAGTGGGTGAGATGATGATGATGGAGAGTGAGATGATGATGATGGTGGTGATGGTCGTGACGTAGACAACGTGGCTTGGATAGTGGATGAGGACCGTGAGTTTAGGCACGGGAGCGAGCAACTTGCGATGAAAAGGTCGCGACTTCGAACGCTGCCCGTTGGTCGACTCCTCGTCCCTCTAGGGGTCAATGCAATGAGCACCACTTGTGGGGAGGTCATCAGTGGTTGTCCTGCAGATAGACTCGCTATCGCCACATGAATGTGGAATTTCCATCAATGGCTCAGGGTTGTTAATGGGGGAGAAGTACCACCTCAATGCTAATTGGGGGAGGAAATCAGCTTTATGTATTATGGCGATTATAATAATGATGATGATGGTGACTGGTTATACTGGTTACAATGATCATGATAATAATGATGATAGTGATGATGATGTAGATGACGGTGGCAAGGCTGATGATGATGATGATGGTGACGATGGTGGCGAGGATGATGTTGATGGTGACGACGATGATGTTGATGACAGTGGCGAGGCTGATGATGGTGACGATGTGTCTCCGCAGTCTGCACGGCCGTGCCGCAGCGCGTGTGGGTCGAGGAGTCCGATTGGTCCACGGTGCGGGTGCGCTGGGGACGAGCACGTGTCGTTGCCGGTGGCGACGCCACCTCCGTCGCTGTGGTGATGTACGCCGTGTCCATGGAGCGCTCCGGGGAGGGACGGAGACTTACGCGGCGCACCCACGGAGAGACGGATACGGTGAGACACACACACAGGCACACTCACGTACAGGCACACAAACTGTTTAACACGTAGGCTTTCGTGACCAATATCATCCATTATACAGGTTTTTTTAGGTGAGATCGCGTAAATATATAAATATGTCGTTAAACCCGTCACCACCCGACACAGCCAATTAGTAAGGTTTGTCACGTAAACAGAACGTGCCAATTCATTACTAGTACAGCACACCGGTTGTGTGTTGGAGAACCAAGCCACAACATTTACAATCTGAGTTCCGTGACGTTTTCCCAGTAATTACAACGAGCTTCATCAGGCGACAGACAAATTTGTGGAGATGCCCACCAGTTGCGTTCCTTCAATAGAGGTGCAGATGCCACGACAACACTTTTGTGCTCTTCCTGCGCAAAGTCGGGGAGGGATTTAGTGAATGCATAAAAATGACTGTGGGTGTCCATTGCCGTCTGGGTTATTTATATGGTAATCAGCGCACATTTTGCGAGCTCATTGTTCTTGTACTTCCTGTTGATTGTGTGCACTAAAATAGCCGTACCAACGGCAATCCCCATTGAAGACATGCATTTTGATAATGTATTATTTGATGATTCGCATCCAAGCAGCACTTATCCTGTAGCTATCCGAACGGTAAAAAAAAATGTCTTTCAATTTTGATAGATCCTCTAATTAGTCTTGGCCAAGAGTAAGTAGTTTTGCACAGAACTTCAACATTATCAAAACCAATTGATAGTCCTTGTTGGCGCACAAGTGTTGTCATCACATCTACGCAATGGCAAAGCCAGGATTTTCAGGTAGGGGGGGCAACCCCTCTAGCAATGAAAAATGATAGTTGTTTGTAAGTAAGGAGTTGTTAGTAAGTAAGGACTTGTCCCTTGCTTTTTATTCGACGCGTGTGCGGCGATGGCACAGCCATCGATCGAGGGTCGAATTTGAACCGCGTTGTGTGATCGGCATCGCGCTCGCTGAAGGTGAATGCCTTCAGGGAAGTCGTGTACTGTATACGCAACTGCGCACAATTCTGAGTCACTTATAACTACTTTGCCATTACTTATTGTCAGTTATGGACTCAGACTATTGTCCTATCATCTCATAGAGTCCCTGGCATGTAATAATATGCTAAATAGTGGCAGTGGGGGTCGCAAAATGCCGATTTATTACTAATAAACCCCAATGATCCGATCGAAATTAGGGATTTCAATCGGATCATTGGGGGGGCACCTGCCACCCCACCCCCCCCCCGCCCCACTGGCTCCGCCAGTGCATCTACGCCTCTATTTGAGGAACGAAACAGGTGGACTGGTTGTAGTTACTGGTGAAACGTCACAGTACTCAGATTATAAATGTTGTGGCTTGGCTCTCCAACACACCGGTGTTGCTGTACTAGTATACTACACTATATACTACACTATACACTACACTATACACTACACTACTATACACTACACTATACACGACACTATACACTACACTACTATACACTACACTATACACGACACTATACACTAGTGCTGTACCAGTGACGAATTGGCACGTTCTGTTTACGTGAAAAACCTTACTAGTTGTCTGTGTCGGGTGGCGGCGGGTTTTTTGACACATTTATATATTTACGTGATCTAACCCAAACAACCTGTATTATGGAGGCACACGCACGCACAGAGAGACAGAGATGGTGTGACGCACGCACACACGCGCACGTGCACTCACTCACGTACAGACACACACGTACGAAGAGATGGACACACCGCGCACTCACTCATGTACAGGCACACACACACAGGCACACTCACACATTCATCTACAGACACACGTACACATGCACTCACGTACAGACACACACAGACACACTCAGGTACAGACGCACACACTTACACAGACACACTCAGGTACAGACGCACACAAACACACGTGTGCATGGAGAGACGGACATGGTGAGGCGCATACACACACACATGCACTCACTCGCGTACAGATTAACGTACACACACGCGTACCCACGCATTCACATTTGCGCTGGGCTAGGATAAGCGTCACGAACACAGAGCTATGAGGACACTGAGACATGTGGGATTAGTGTTGGGAGGGCGGGGGAGCTGCCGTGTGGAAATGTGTGAACAAACAAGGGAGAGTGGAGCTGCCACCTTTGCGGTGTGAACTCGTAGCCAGAGGGCAGAGGGAGGGAGAGGGCTTGTGTTGTCAAGACCCTCCACCGCCCTGACGCAGCCACACGTGTTCGTTGTCACTCGCTCACCGGGTGAGGTGAAGAGCGACCCTCACCACTGGAATTGGGCAGCGATGAGATCCGCAACCTTTCACTTGAAACCCGCGCCAAACATCTTCCAGGAAATCCGAATCACAAAGTGGGAACGAGGTATCTTAACGGCCAGGATTTGGCTGGATACCTACGTGGCCTGACCCCAAAATCCAACTATTAAACGCACGACATTGGCCCAGGAAACGTACACGTCAAACGAGGTGCCAACACGTGTCAGATGCACACACATCATCCAGGGCGTGCGAAGTTTCGCCAACGAGGAACCGCCAGGCCAACTTTGGCTCAACGTTGGTCCAACGTTCCACGTGAACTGGCACAGCATTTCCTGACAATGTGCAATGTCGTCCTCTTGCGCTGCCTCTCAGTCGGCAACATTTGCTTTGTTTATAATTTGATGGGAACACGGTGCCGTTTTCCAGGAACCTCTGATGATGTTTGGGCGCCACGGTGGCTAGGAGATGTTAACTACCTCGCCTTGTATACAGGAGGTCGTGGGTTCAAGCCCGACTCTTACGCATGTATATTTGGAGTTTGTGTGTGTCTCTCCCTGTGGTCGCATGGATTTTTCTCCGGGTCCTCCGGTTTTCCCTCCACATCTAAAATCAACGGCACACGTTGAGACTTTGGCTGCTATAAATTTCCATGTGATGATAAGCCACTTAGTCGAGCTATCATTTGTGGCCTGAAAAAGAGCTATGTAGCTCAGTGGGCTTTATCTGGAAAAAAAATAGTTTTAGTTTTTTCAGAATACACAGAGGCAGTGTGCTGTTTACACGTGTCTGGTTGTTGTTTGAAACCCATAGTATTTCCAGCCTACGCTATCATTCACGTGTGATGATAGGATTTGTTCTTCATTAACAGACTTGATTTTTAAACCATACATTTAGCGTTCCCTGTGTTTGTGTTTGTATGCAGTGCCGGATTATCCTAGTAGCAAAAGTAGCATATGCTATGGGCCCCGCACTTTCAAGGGCCCCGCGCTAAATGCTTTCAAGCTATCAATTCCGGTTGAGTGGTTCTGAACTTTCTCTATTAATTTAGTACTGTACTGCCTTCAACTTTTATGAACGACTGGGTGTTTAAGGTGAGCGATTTGTAGTATCATATGACTGTATAGCAAATGAAAAAATACAATTACTTTACTATGCAAGTAAACAAATTTAGTTTAATATTTATGTGTTTTTTTAAATTTAGGGCCCCTTTATAACACATGCTACAGGCTTAATCCGGCACTGTGTGCATGTGTACGTGTGTGTGTGCGTGCAAATACAACCCCTTACCTCGTGGTGCCGGACGGCAACGCTGTGGTGGGCAGTGCCTTGGGGGGAGGGCCAATTTAAATTGGCCTTTCCCCTCATGGCGTTTGTAACCACCACAGCGGCCAAATGGGGGCTCTGAACGCGTGCCAGGGGCTGGTAACCCCTCCACCTTCAATTAATTAGCACTAAACCACATCTGAAAAATGTAATTAATAAGCTTGTGCCGGAGGCCCCGGGGGGACAGGCGTCTATGACGTCTCCTGGCCAAACCCCATTTGGCGGAGCCAGGAGACTGAATCCTTACCCTCGGGGCTCCACCAGAAACAACGAAAAACCACTACGTGTGGCCACGTGGAATGTTCGAACGCTCACTGCGGAGGAGAGGTTGCCACTCTTCTGTCGGGAGCTGGACCGGTACCGCCTGGATCTCTATGGTATTCAGGAGGTCCTGTGGACCGGCTCTGGCTCCTGCCACCATGAGGGGTGGACAGTCCTCTTCTTGGGGCAGGAGACTGCCAAACAACAGGGAGTGGCCCTTCTTCTGAACAAAAGAATGAAGGGGGCGTGGGAGCATGGCGGTGAGGTGTGGGAAGCTGTAAGCTCCAGGCTACTCTGGGCTCGCCTTCCCATCAACCAGAAGGGAGGAGTGGTGGTCGTGGTTAGTTTTGCCCCCACCGAAGACGAACATCCGTGGAGGGATGCAGGCAAGGCCGATGAGTCAGATGCCTTCTATGATCTCCTGTCACAGGTGCTAGCTAAAGTGGCCCCTCGGGATAGAGTCATCTTGTTGGGTGACTTCAATTCCCGAGTTGTTCATGATGCTGGCACCTGGTATGGAGTGATTGGAAGGCATGGGCCAGATCAGCTCAATAACAACGGCAGGAGGCTGCTAGATTTTCGTGCAGCCCATGGGCTTGGAATTACCAACACGCTGTTCTGGCATTGGCGCATCCACACAACATCATGGATGCATGCCGGGTCCAAACAAGAACATCTGCTGGACTACATAGTGACGGACCAGCGGATGCGGGCCCATGTCCTTGACACCAGGACCGACCGTAGAGCTGATCTGCGCACTGACCATCGACTTGTCATCTGTACGATGCGCCTGCCAGTCTTCCACTCCGGTGGTGGGTGTGCACCCAGGATCCCATTCAAATCTTTCGTGGAATGGTCTCAGCTAGCTGATGAAAGTTGCAAGCGAGAATTTCATCATCGCTTGCAGCTGGGGTTGGCATCTTCCCCCACTCCTCCTGATGTCGAGGGGAAATGGGCGAGGTTTAGGACTGTGGCTCATGCAGCTGCAATGGCTGCTTTTGGTACACGGTTCAGACCTCCCCAGAGACCCTGGCTGACAGAGGAGGTGTTCAAGCTGGCTGAGAAAAGCGACAGGCCCACTCTCATCAGCTACAGCATCCCACGTCGGATAATGAGGAGGCTTACCGCAGCCTTCGCTCGGAGGTTTGGAG